ATCAATGGTTAAAAGGAAGCATTAAAAACAATCTAGAAATTATGTGCAGTTGTATTCTTCTTCTTCATGCTAACCTGTCTTTAAGTGTAATTAATGTAAGAGGTATGGGTCAAGGTTGGTCAAGTTCGCAAAAAAAAATAAAAAATAAACATCTGGTTTAAGGAATACAAACACAGAACAATCATAGGTACAACATAATAGGACTAGATCAATGCCAACACCTCACAAACACAGAACAATCATAGGTACAACATAATAGGACTAGATCAATGCCAACACCGCTCATATACTGCCATGGTTAGTATGACTAAATAAATACCATCAAAATACCAGCATAATGCTATCATAATACCATCATAATAACATTATAATACCATCCTGTTAAAACATTAGTGGGACAAAGTAAACATTACACACAGAATAATGTTAGTCAATGGTTGGTTAACATTTGTTATTGTGACTATGTTTAACTGTCATATAAGATTCAACTAACTAAAGTGACACATAATCTATCCAATAAAATACGACCAAGTCTACACAGGCTCCTGTTAGTAGAACCAATGCTAAATAACCATCTACACAAATAATAACATTCTTAATCATATAAAGTATAATAGACATTATGTTTTCTAGAATATACCAGATCTAAGATAGTCTCCCATAGCATAGATCAATTTCCTGAAAGCAATAATTATCTGTAAACAGGCAGTTTGACTAAACTGGAACTATATACATCTGTAAGCAGTAGGTTTGACTAGTTAGAATCAGATAAATCTGTAAGCAGTAGGTTTGACTAGTTAGAAGCAGATAAATCTGTAAGCAGTAGGTTTGACTAGTTAGAATCAGATACACCTGTAAGCATTAGGTTTGACTAGTTAGAATCAGATACACCTGTAAGCATTAGGTTTGACTAGTTAGAATCAGATAAATCTGTAAGCAGTAGGTTTGATTAGTTAGAATCAGATAAATCTGTAAGCAGTAGGTTTGACTAGTTAGAATCAGATACATATGTAAGCAGTAGGTTTGACTAGTTAGAATCAGATAAATCTGTAAGCAGTAGGTTTGACTAGTTAGAATCAGATACATCTGTAAGCAGTAGGTTTGACTAGTTAGAATCAGATACATATGTAAGCAGTAGGTTTGACTAGTTAGAATCAGATAAATCTGTAAGCAGTAGGTTTGACTAGTTAGAATCAGATAAATCTGTAAGCAGTAGGTTTGACTAGTTAGAATCAGATACATCTGTAAGCAGTAGGTTTGACTAGTTAGAATCAGATACATCTGTAAGCATTAGGTTTGACTAGTTAGAATCAGATACATCTGTAAGCAGTAGGTTTGACTAGTTAGAATCAGATACATCTGTAAGCAGTAGGTTTGACTAGTTAGAATCAGATACACCTGTAAGCATTAGGTTTGACTAGTTAGAATCAGATACATCTGTAAGCAGTAGGTTTGACTAGTTAGAATCAGATACACCTGTAAGCATTAGGTTTGACTAGTTAGAATCAGATACATCTGTAAGCAGTAGGTTTGACTAGTTAGAATCAGATACATCTGTAAGCATTAGGTTTGACTAGTTAGAATCAGATAAATCTGTAAGCAGTAGGTTTGACTAGTTAGAATCAGATACATCTGTAAGCATTAGGTTTGACTAGTTAGAATCAGATAAATCTGTAAGCAGTAGGTTTGACTAGTTAGAATCAGATACACCTGTAAGCATTAGGTTTGACTAGTTAGAATCAGATACATCTGTAAGCAGTAGGTTTGACTAGTTAGAATCAGATACACCTGTAAGCATTAGGTTTGACTAGTTAGAATCAGATACATCTGTAAGCAGTAGGTTTGACTAGTTAGAATCAGATACATCTGTAAGCATTAGGTTTGACTAGTTAGAATCACATTTCAGAGAAATATTTCTCAGCTTTGTTGGTGTCCCATATGCTGTGGATGAGAGATCTGAGCATGAAGGAAAACAGTTTGAATCAACATATTTTCTGTCAACAAAGCCAACCTGCCTCTATACTGAGTCAACCTGCCTCTGTACAAAGCCAACCTGCCTCTGTACAAAGTCAACCTGCCTCTGTACAAAGTCAACCTGCCTCTGTACAAAGCCAACCTGCCTCTGTACAAAGTCAACCTGCCTCTGTACAAAGTCAACCTGCCTCTGTACAAAGCCAACCTGCCTCTGTACAAAGTCAACCTGCCTCTGTACAAAGCCAACTTGCCTCTGTACAAAGTCAACTTGCCTCTGTACAAAGTCAACTTGCCTCTGTACAAAGTCAACTTGCCTCTGTACAAAGTCAACTTGCCTCTGTACAAAGCCAACCTGCCTCTGTACAAAGCCAACCTGCCTCTGTACAAAGCCAACCTGCCTCTGTACAAAGTCAACCTACCTCTGTACAAAGCCAACCTGCCTCTGTACAAAGTCAACCTGCCTCTGTACAAAGTCAACCTGCCTCTGTACAAAGTCAACCTGCCTCTGTACAAAGTCAACCTGTGTTTATACAAAGTCAACCTAGAGGTGACAACATCAGGTGATCCATGGACAACATCCACAACTAACCAGAATTTAACAAAAATTAAAAACTAACATTTAAAAAAAAAAATTGTGGACAAAAGTATAAATGCTTTGTTACAATAAATGTGTTGACAAAATGAAATGCCATAATACATTTATTTAAAAGATAAAAAAATCTTTGGTGTGTATTACATAAAAATGTAATTATATTTCTTAGCCACATTTTGAGCTCACACTTAATGCACTCAAGACCTGAGGTACCAATAAGGTTAGTCACAGCAACAGAAATAATTTGACCAGTCCAGTTTATCTACAGCAACAAATCATTTGACCAGTCCAGTTTATCTACAGCAACAAATCATTTGACCAGTCCAGTTTATCTACAGCAACAAATCATTTAATCTAGAGCAACAGAAATAACTTGACCAGTCCAGTTTATCTAAAGCAACAAATAATTTGACCAGTCCAGTTTATCTGGCTGGTTCTATAGCAACAAATAATTTAACCTACAGCTAAAGTACTGTCAATTTGGATGTCTTAAAAAACAACAATAGTTTTGAAATAATTTACTAGTATCTTTCTTTTAAAAAAAAGACAACACTTACATTGAATATTAATATCTTACTTTAAAAAAAGTTATAGTTTGCACTTTACAATTTAAAAAAAAAAAAACTTGAGAATATCAATGTGAAATATCTAGATTGTGTTTACAGTTTTAAAAAACTTGAGAATATCAACGAGAAATAGTTAGCTTGTGTTTAGTTTTAAAAAGCTTGAGAATATCAATAAGAAATTTCTGACTTGTGTTTAACAACACAGTCAAGGCACACATGAAAATAAATTGTGGAGCATCATGTGAGAGTGGAGGACGAACTACAGGACAAACTATGGGACAAACTATGGGACACACAAAGCACCAGCATAACATAAGGAAGGATGTGGGGGGGGGGGGGGGGGAGATGAAAACTGTCCAAACATAACCTCCCCCCAACAACAACATGCAAATACAGGAATATATAATTGAGTTAAGTGCTAGTTAAACTTTTTTGTGTGTTGTAGGTTCTATGCTACATCTAGTCTGTCATGCAGTCCCTTCTTTTAGTTAACCAAAAATATATCAAGTCAACAATCTACTCATTTAGAATAGTAAAGCTAAAGAAAAAATCACTAAAAAAAAATAACAATTAAAAAAATCTACTCATTAAGAATTGTAAATCTAAAGAAGTAATCACTAAAAAAATAACAATAAAAACATAATGAATAATGAAAAACTGAAAAAAAGAAACAATTTTAAATTAAAGAACAAAGAAAAAAATATCACCCATGACAATGCCTCATAACCCAAAAAAGTTATTCAGAAAATTATAATTTCCATAAAAAAAAAAATCACATTCTGTACATGTCTGTATGCCATGCCAATTAGCCATAAATATTTTTTTTTATTTTGTCAATAACATAAATTTCTACTATAATGAGAAATGATGTGCTTTTCGACAATAAATCAATTAATTTACATCTGATAACTGGAGTATGAGATGATGCTATTTAAAATAGAGGTTAAAGGATGTCAATTTTGCTTGGTAAAAATATACACATTTGTATGTATAAGAATATTTTTAAAAAATTGAGATGTCTTAAAATTCTTTTTGCACAAATCACATTTCATTGATCACAATTAACAAGAGATTTGTCTGTCAATACAGTAAAGATTCCAATATTAGTCCGTTGTCTTGGGATACACAATAAAAAATAAGGCACAGTGTTGGTGCAATATTGCATAGTACAACTATCAGATGAAAAAACAGAAGTTTATTATCTTATTTTTTTTACTTGATATATCAGCAGTTAATTAACAAGTTAACTATTTATTGATTACACAAACATAAAAAATACAGTGTAACAGTAGTGTTAGCACACACAAAATGGTAGTAAGTGTGTGTGTAATGGAGGACAGATGACATCAGGTGTAATGTATAGATTACGTGTGACTCACCAATTTACCTACTCACAAGTTTTGTAACCTACACCCCCCCCCCCCCCCTTGGGTTAAAGATGTTATCTCACAAAAGATGGTGGGTGTGATTTAAATTATGTCTGGTGTATAATATTATCTGTGTGTGATTTAATTTATACCTGGTGTATGATTATCTGTGTCTGATTTATAACTGGTGTATGATTATCTGTGTGTGATTTATACCTGGTGTATGATTATCTGTGTGTGATTTATACCTGGTGTATGATTATCTGTGTGTGATTTATACCTGGTGTATGATTCTGTGTGTGATTTAATTTATACCTGGTGTATGATTATCTGTGCATGTGATTAAGTTTATTCATGGTGTATGATTATCTCTGTGTGTGATTTAATTTATGCTTGGTGCATGATTATCTATGTATGTGATTTATTTGGGCGACACAAATTCTTTAACTGTCTCAAAAGTTTTACTCATCTAGGCAGATGAGTCTTTAAGTACCAAAAATGAGAACACCTACCCTGCCAGCACTAACTATTGTACCCCACAGCCCCCACCCCTAGATATAAATTAATGCACCACCAAAAGGTCACCACCAAAAGGCCAGCTGTCCTCCATGACAACAAAACTTGTTGTAACCAAGTCTAAACTGAGAAATCTTGCTGCAATGTAGCTGCCAAGATGCCTGCCACTACACCTCAAAAAAACATTTCTCACGCAACTTCAAAAATGTACAGCTAATCGGACAAAAGTCCATACATATACACGTGTCAATAAAAGCAATATGAATGGTAGCACTGGGTTCAACATCACACACCGGGAGTGATTCTTTCACTTAGATTATCACATACCCTCACCCTACTTTGGTAACAGTGGAATCACATATTCCTAGCCACTACCACCCTACTATTGCTAGAATGGAATTACCCATTCTATCTTCCTCTACTTTGGCAAAAATGGAATCCACTAACACTCAACTTTTTTAGAATGGAATCACCCATCCTATCCACTAGCACCCCTACTTTGGCAAGAATGGAATCACCCATCCATTCACTGGTATTTAAGAGCTGTTACTGTGTAGCCCATTTAACTCATTCATAAAAAAACAAACATGTATACACTAACTCAACTCCCCTTCTACAGAGTGTCATTTCCTCTGTCAGCTTCAAGATTAAATGATTAAACCAAAAGACAGAATTAATCTGACTGGAAGAAACAACTGAGAAATATATAATTAATCCCTTGAGTTTTGAATTAAAATGCATCAAACCCGTTTAAAACAGCCACTTATTTTTGTTTTAAGGGTTTTCAAAGAAAATTAAAATATCCAGATTTTTATACAAGAAAAAAAAAGCAAGCCAAAACAAAATAATATAATGTTTAAAAACCCTCAGTGCTGGCTGCAAGAAATATTTGTAGCTACAATGCTAATGAAGAAAAGAAAAAGGGGAAACTAATACCAGGGGATCAGTTTCTAATCAAGTGTGGCGTCATTGAACTCAACAGCAGTCTTCATATTTGCACAAGCTCTTGAATTTCACTGCTGCAGATAATGTTAGCTGGATGCTTTGATGGTCAAGCTATTAGCCAAATGGTTATTTAAATCAGTTTAAAAAATGGTTTAAAAGAGTGAAAAATACTGGGATGAATATGAGTTTATAATATTGAATGATGCTAAATCTGGTCAAGAGAAGGATACTTTGTGGATAGAATACAAGGATTTTTTTAAAAATATAATAATGAAGAGGTTTTTTTTTTTTAATTTTTGGGTTGAAATTATTCTGGGAAGTATTTATTATGCTCTTATGTTGTGGTGTAAAGTGTCCTTGTGGGCATCATTTGAACAGGAAGCTAGTTAAATCTAGGGTTACAAAGATGTCGGGAGTGACGTCCCCTGCCTTACTGCTCCAGCCAAAACTCTACATGCTCGTAATGTGCTCGCATCACTTTCTCCAGCTGCCGGGCGTGGTGCAGGTCTCTCGTCTCCACCACACAGCGAACCTGGGGGTGACAAGGTGGGGATGGTAAGAACAGTGAGTCTAAGGTGGGGGGGGGGGGAGGGTTTAGAACAGTGAGTCTAAGGTGGGGGGGGATGGTTAGAACAGTGGGACTAAGGTGGGGACAGTGTGAGTAAGGTGGGGGGGTGGGGGGGCGGGGTGGGAGGGGGTTAGGGGGTTAGAACAGTGAGTCTAAGGTGGAGATGGTTAGAACATAAGTATAGGGTGGGGATGGTTAGAACAGTGAGTCTAAGGTGGGGGGGGGGAGGGTTTAGAACAGTGAGTCTAAGGTGGGTTGGGGGGGGGGGGGTTAGAACAGTGAGACTAAGGTGGGGATGGTTAGAACAGTGAGTGTAAGATAGGGACGGTTAGATGGTTAGTACAGTGAGTCTAAGGTGGGGACGGTTAGAACAGTGACACTAAGGTGGGGAAGGTTAGAACAGTAAGACTAAGATGGGGACGGTTAGAACAGTGAGACTAAGGTGGGGACGGTTAGAACAGTAAGTCTAAGGTGGGGATCGTTAGAACAGTGAGTCTAAGGTGGGAATGGTTAGATGGTTAGAACCGTGAGTCTAAGGTGGGGACGGTTAGAACAGTGAGTCTAAGGTGGGGGGGGGGGGGTTAGAACAGTGAATCTAAGGTGGGGATGGTTAGAACAGTAAGTCTAAGGTGGGGATCGTTAGAACAGTGAGTCTAAGGTGGGAATGGTTAGATGGTTAGAACCGTGAGTCTAAGGTGGGGACGGTTAGAACAGTGAGACTAAGGTGGGGCTGGTTAGAACAGTGAGACTAAGGTGGGGACGGTTAGAACAGTGAGACTAAGGTAAGGCAGTTAGAACAGTGAGTCTAAGGTGGGGATGGTTAGATGGTTAGAACAGTGAGACTAAGGTGGGGATGGTTAGATGGTTAGAACAGTGGGACTAAGGTGGGGATGGTTAGAACAGTGAGACTAAGGTGGGGACGGTTAGAACAGTGAGACTAAGGTGGGGATGGTTAGATGGTTAGAACAGTGAGTCTAAGGTGGGGATAGTTAGATGGTTAGAACAGTGAGTTTAAGGTGGGGGGGGGGGGGGTTAGAACAGTGAGTCTAAGGTGGGGATGGTTAGATGGTTAGAACAGTGAGTCTAAGGTGGGGATAGTTAGATGGTTAGAACAGTGAGTTTAAGGTGGGGGGGGGGTTAGAACAGTGAGTCTAAGGTGGGGATGGTTAGAACAGTGAGTCTAAGGTGGGGATGGTTAGAACAGTGAGTCTAAGGTGCGGACGGTTAGAACAGTGAGTCTAAGGTGGGGATGGTTAGGTGGTTACAACAGTGAGACTAAGGTGGGGACGGTTAGAACAGTGAGTCTAAGGTGGGGACAGAACAGTGAGACTAAGGTGGGGATGGTTAGAACAGTGAGTCTAAGGTGGGGATGGTTAGACAGTTAGAACAGTGAGACTAAGGTGGGGATGGTTAGAACAGTGGGACTAAGGTGGGGACGTTTAGACGGTTAGAACAGTGAGACTAAGGTGGGGACGGTTAGAACAGTGAGTCTAAGGTGGGGATGGTTAGAACAGTGACACTAAGGTGGGGATGGTTAGAACAGTGAGTCTAAGGTGGGGATGGTTAGAACAGTGACACTAAGGTGGGGATGGTTAGAACAGTGAGTCTAAGGTGGGGGTGGTTAGAACAGTGAGTCTAAGGTGGGGATGGTTAGAACAGTGGGACTAAGGTGGGGACGGTTAGACGGTTAGAACAGTGAGACTAAGGTGGGGATGGTTAGAACAGTGGGACTAAGGTGGGGACGTTTAGACGGTTAGAACAGTGAGACTAAGGTGGGGATGGTTAGAACAGTGGGACTAAGGTGGGGACGTTTAGACGGTTAGAACAGTGAGACTAAGGTGGGGATGGTTAGAACAGTGAGACTAAGGTGGGGATGGTTAGACGGTTAGAACAGTGAGACTAAGGTGGGGATGGTTAGAACAGTGAGACTAAGGTGGGGACGGTTAGACGGTTAGAACAGTGAGACTAAGGTAAGGACGGTTAGAACAATGGAACTAAGGTGGGGATGGTTAGAACAGTGAGTCTAAGGTGGGGATGGTTAGAACAGTGAGAGTAAAAGGAGTTCATATGTAGATAAGGTCAAATTAAATGACAAAGTAAATAACACTATAATTTAAATTGCATCAGTAAGTACAGGAAAAATTGAGCTAATTTAAATATTAATTTAATATTAAGAAAGGTAATTAAAAAACAACTAAGCAACATTTTATTTAACATTAGAATTAAAAGATTGAAACTTAGACACATTATATAACAATAAATTTCTGTAACTAAATATTTAGATTACATTGAACTAAATAAAAACTTTTTGTCCAAGTGTAAAAACAATCAGCAGTTTGAAAACAAAACACACATGAAAACAAAACAATGTATGACAAGTGATATTCAGTGACAGTTCACATTAGAAAATCATATATGTGTGATGGTTTTCCTCTCAAAAAAGGTAACTTTAAAATGTGATACATCTAGCCTCTACATAATTCTCAAAAACAACTTCAAAATGTGATACATCTGGCCACTACACAATTCTCAACAACAGCTTTATCATGTGATACAAGATGCCCCTCTAACAAACTTTCTGTTCAAACGTAACAAGCAACTTTGTACATTCACCAGCAAATATGACCACACACACCTGCATCAATGGGATGTGCTTGTTATGTGATAGTTATGTTGGCACTCATAGAAGGTTGGAGGTCAGGTATTTTAGATGATAGTTATGTTGGCACTCATAGAAGGTTGGGGATCAGGTATTTTAGATGATAGTTATGTTGGCACTCATAGAAGGTTGGAGGTCAGGTATTTTAGATGATAGTTATGTTGGCACTCATAGAAGGTTGGGGATCAGGTATTTTAGATGATAGTTATGTTGGCACTCATAGAAGGTTGGAGGTCAGGTATTTTAGATGATAGTTATGTTGGCACTCATAGGTTGGAGGTGAGGTATTTTAGATGATAGTTATGTTGGCACTACCAAAAGGTTGGAGGTCAGGTATTTTAGATGATAGTTATGTTGGCACTCATAGAAGGTTGGAGGTGAGGTATTTTAGATGATAGTTATGTTGGCACTACCAAAAGGTTGGGGATCAGGTATTTTAGATGATAGTTATGTTGGCACTCATAGAAGGTTGGAGGTCAGGTATTTTAGATGATAGTTATGTTGGCACTCATAGAAGGGTGGAGATCAGGTATTTTAGATGATAGTTATGTTGGCACTCATAGAATGGAGGTCAGGTATTTTAGATGATAGTTATGTTGGCACTCATAGAAGGTTGGGGATCAGGTATTTTAGATGATAGTTATGTTGGCACTCATAGAAGGTTGGAGGTCAGGTATTTTAGATGATAGTTATGTTGGCACTCATAGAAGGTTGGAGGTCAGGTATTTTAGATGATAGTTATGTTGGCACTCATAGAAGGTTGGAGGTCAGGTATTTTAGATGATAGTTATGTTGGCACTACCAAAAGGTTGGAGGTCAGGTATTTTAGATGATAGTTATGTTGGCACTCATAGAAGGTTGGAGGTCAGGTATTTTAGATGATAGTTATGTTGGCACTCATAGGTTGGGGATCAGGTATTTTAGATGATAGTTATGTTTGCACTCATAGAAGGTTGGGGATCAGGTATTTTAGATGATAGTTATGTTGGCACTCATAGAATGGAGATCAGGTATTTTAGATGATAGTTATGTTGGCACTCATAGAAGGTTGGGGATCAGGTATTTTAGATGATAGTTATGTTGGCACTCATAGAATGAAGATCAGGTATTTTAGATGATAGTTATGTTGGCACTCATAGAAGGTCGGGGATCAGGTATTTTAGATGATAGTTATGTTGGCACTCATAGAATGTTGGAGGTGAGGTATTTTAGATGATAGTTATGTTGGCACTCATAGAATGTTGGAGGTGAGGTATTTTAGATGATAGTTATGTTGGCACTACCAAAAGGTTGGGGATCAGGTATTTTAGATGATAGTTATGTTGGCACTCATAGAAGGTTGGAGGTCAGGTATTTTAGATGATAGTTATGTTGGCACTCATAGAAGGGTGGAGATCAGGTATTTTAGATGATAGTTATGTTGGCACTCATAGAATGGAGGTCAGGTATTTTAGATGATAGTTATGTTGGCACTCATAGAAGGTTGGGGATCAGGTATTTTAGATGATAGTTATGTTGGCACTCATAGAATGGAGGTCAGGTATTTTAGATGATAGTTATGTTGGCACTCATAGAAGGTTGGAGGTCAGGTATTTTAGATGATAGTTATGTTGGCACTACCAAAAGGTTGGAGGTCAGGTATTTTAGATGATAGTTATGTTGGCACTCATAGAAGGTTGGAGGTCAGGTATTTTAGATGATAGTTATGTTGGCACTCATAGGTTGGGGATCAGGTATTTTAGATGATAGTTATGTTTGCACTCATAGAAGGTTGGGGATCAGGTATTTTAGATGATAGTTATGTTGGCACTCATAGAATGGAGATCAGGTATTTTAGATGATAGTTATGTTGGCACTCATAGAAGGTTGGGGATCAGGTATTTTAGATGATAGTTATGTTGGCACTCATAGAATGGAGATCAGGTATTTTAGATGATAGTTATGTTGGCACTCATAGAAGGTCGGGGATCAGGTATTTTAGATGATAGTTATGTTGGCACTCATAGAATGGAGATCAGGTATTTTAGATGATAGTTATGTTGGCACTCATAGAATGTTGGAGGTGAGGTATTTTAGATGATAGTTATGTTGGCACTCATAGAATGTTGGAGGTGAGGTATTTTAGATGATAGTTATGTTGGCACTACCAAAAGGTTGGGGATCAGGTATTTTAGATGATAGTTATGTTGGCACTCATAGAAGGGTGGAGGTCAGGTATTTTAGATGATAGTTATGTTGGCACTCATAGAAGGTTGGGGATCAGGTATTTTAGATGATAGTTATGTTGGCACTCATAGAATGGAGA